TTACATATTCGGTATATATACTGTCTGGATAGAAGCATCCAGAATCTGGATCCTGCAGCTTCTCAGTGGGTGGTGGTCCCAGAAGGGCTGCTCATGCCCTGAGGGACCCGACCCACCTCGTCCTCCCCCTTTGGCATCCCCGCCAACCCCACCAGTATCTGGTGTTTAGACCCCACTTTCTGACCACCACAACACCGCCCAGGGCTGCTGGGTCCTGGGGGCTCTGAGATGTGGGCAGCCTCACTGCCCCAGTACTTCCCGGCATCTTTGTGCTTTTCTTGCCCAGGGCCCACTGGGGGCCCCTGCTCTGCTCCCCTCCCCTCCCCTCCCTTCCCCTCCTTCTTCCCCCCCAATCCCCTGCTTCTCTCCCACCCCCTCTTCTTCCTTCTCCTCCTCAAACACTCCCCTCCCACCTTCTCCCCCCATCCCCTTCTCTCCCTCTCCACTTCCCCAATGGCTCAGGCGCTGTACCCTCCTGCACCCCCGACTGCAACCCCAGCCTCCACATCCTATCTTTTCCATGCCCAGGCCCCACAAGACCCAGTGGCCAGCGATGCTCAGCTCCCTGAAGTGTGTGGACCTGAGGCTGCAGAGATTTTTAACAGCCCCATCCCCCAAATGGCAACCAAAGTTTAGTAGTCACTCAATAAGCGTATGTTGACTGTGTGGCTCCATTAATTAATAAAGGGGTCTTGCAGGGTAGTAGCCCTGTTTCCAGAAAGGGGAGGAGCGAGGTTCAGACCACATGGTTTTCCTAGCAAGTCAGTGCTGGTCCCTGCTTACCCTGCGCTCACCTTGGAGCTCGCACCCATGTGCCCCAGAGCCCCGCAGGTGTTGGGAGTGAGCTCAAGGGCTCTGTTCCTAGACTCCCCCTTTTTGGGAACCTGGAGACATTTGTTGCTGTGCCTGCTACCCTCAGCCTCTATCACTCCTGGAGATGAACAATGATAACACCTCAGGTCCCCGTGGGAGCCGAGTAGACACTGGGGGACCCCTGGCCTGGAAAGATGCAGCAAACACTTAGGAGAGAGGGATGTTGTTCCAGTGCTTTCTGAGCGCTTGACCTTTATGAATTCAATAACGATCACAGTAGCCCTAGAAACCACTGCTTATCTGCCCAGGAAACTGAGCCTGGGCCAAGCTCACTGGGAGTGAGACCACCTGGGTTCTGGGGCCTATCCGCCAGGGGAGCTGTGCGTCTGGCCCCTCCTGGGCTTGCAGCCTTTTGTTCCGTGTTTGTGCCACTCCTTTCCACTTCTTTATCTGTTCTTAAAACGGTAGCCTCTCAACCCTGCTCTGAGGGCTTTGATTCTGGTCTTGGGTTCCCCGAAAACTCACCCTCACCCCTGCAGGTCTACATTCTCCTCTGTGGCCACACTGGCTGGGGTCATCTCCTCGTCACCTCTGTTCAGTTTGAACCTGAGTCTGTCAGTGAGGAAGCCTCCGGTCCTCGGCTGCGGTTACCACGTGCCATGCCCGCCACACCTCATTTTCTGGACACGGCCCCTCCCCATGCAGGCCTTCTGCAGCAACTGGAAATTTGGGCATCTCCTGGACTTTCCCTGTGCCCCTTATTCCTGGGAGGATCGAGGCTCACACTCTGTTCGTCTGCTGTGTGGAAGGCCCGGTGCTTACCCAGAGAGGGTCAGGAGTGCTGTTCCTTGTCGCTGGGCCTCTGTGGTCACTGCCCACAGAGAGGATGCCCCCTGGGGCGTCCTCTCTCCCTAGTTTGCAGGGAGCTTCTTGTCCACATTGCGCTGCAGACGCCGCCCCCTCCCCAGCACACACGTCTGCGCGATCCTTTCCAACATGTTCACTGTCTCTCTCTCCCGCTGCGCCCTTCACCGCTGACCTGAGAACCTAGGGCAGTGTCCAGGATCTGATTAATAAATATTTGTGGAGAAGAACTCTGTTGAGTTTGTCTTTCATTTGTGTGGGCCATTACCAAAGTTTTGAAAAACACAAAAATCAAGAAACATAAAATCTGCGCACAGAAACCAGTGAAGCCCTCCCAGCAACACGACGATCCCAGCAAGGTGAGACTTGCGCAGGTGAATCAGAAAGGACGCTGTCGACTGTGTTTCCTGGGAGTGAAATAATGGACCATGACACAGTCTGTCTCAAAAGTTTCATAGTGACTCACATACTTTAGATGTAAGGTAGTTCCATCATCTTCTTAGAAAATCTTATAAAATGGTAATAACCTACATGAGTTAGTTGTGTTTAGTCACCTGCTTGGACTCTACCCAGACAAAATGAATTGACACTGACATGGCTGTTGTCCAGGTAGCCGTAAAGTTCAGGTTGGGAAAACCAGTATTTAATTCTAATCCTGCCACTAACCAGCTAATGTCTTGGGACTGCCCCTCATCTGGACATGAAGGAACATTGTGGGTGATACCTGTATCTAAGGTGCTTTCCAATTCTGAGATTAATTCTACCTGCTATGTCACAGGCGTCCTCAAACTATGACCCGTGGGCCACATGCAGCCCGCCTAGGACATTTATCTGGCCTGCCGGGTGTTTTTGCTGCCGCTGCCTGTCCTGCTTAGCAGCCGACTTGTCCCGGGGCCCATAGTCCGGCCCTCCAGTGGTCTGAGGGACAGTGAACTGGCCCCCTGTTTAAAAAGTTTGAGGACCCCTGTTATGATGCTAGGTCCTCTGAAACCCAACTATCCCCTAGTGAGATCTGGTATCCTACCCTGAAACATGTTATGTGGTATTTATTCATTGCAATGTCCCCACCACCCCCAAAAGCTTCTAAGGAACTTAGCTGCTGCATTTAGGGGCCACGGAGAGGAAGGCGTGAAACAGGTGACACGTGGTGCTGAGCAGCTACCTGCCTGTTTATGCAGCATCCTTTAGCCGGATGTACAACCTGCCACACCACCCCCTGTGCTCACAGGCAGCTAACAAATGATTAGCACTGATTAGCAGACAAATAAACCCCCCTCCGTGCCATCTGGCCTTCCGCCCTTGTGGACTGGACTTTTATCTCATACAGAATGTTGAGGTGACGTGAAAGGGCTGAAATGTCATTGTGTGAACAGATCACTGCCCATTCCGCTTGCCTGTACATATTGACAGGATAGTATTTCATTACTCAGTATCGATAGTGACTTTTAGAGGGTTTCCTAAACCCTCCGGAATCATCTTCCTTATTTAAAGGACGGAAAATGCGTCCACAGTTCCTAAATCAGGAAGTCTTTTTAAAAAGACAGATTCCTGGACCCCACTTTAGGAAATTCAAAACTCTACAGGTCCAGGCTGGAGGCCAGAGCCTGTATTTATTTTCATTTGTTTTAAACTTGGCCTCATGCAGAGCCAAATTTGATAATCCTGGAACAAAGAGGTCTCTAAGTTCCCAAACTCTCTTTTGAATCTAAGGTTCCTTCTGATTTGCATTTAAACCTGGTGAACCTTCTCCCAGCTCCCTACCCAGGCACAGGGGGTGGTGTATTCCTGTATTTACCTCGCAAGTGCCCTGGGGACCTGGGGGAGGGACCTGTGAGCTCAGTGACCAGGTTCCTGTTGGTGCTGTGGGGTAATTCCAATAAGCCTCCGGGGGAGAGGGATGTCACTGCTGGGGCTTTCAGTCTTTCTTACTGAGCAAATCACTTTTTCACAAGGATGGAAATAGAGAGCTCCGTGGCAGGTCCACAGTTGCTGTCTGCCTCTGTGTGGCCATGTGAATTTCCCCTCTCAATTGCTTGGGGAAGGAATTTGAGGAACCTGTGGGCTGTGGGAGGAGCGGCAGGGAGCAAGTCCATACCCCCAGGTGAGGGGCACAGACTAATTTCCTTACCACTACAGTGAAAGTTCGTGCTATGGGAAGTGCATGGAGGCTCAGAAGATCTACTGGCTCTGTTTTTACTTTAATGCTTTACAGGTTTCCCCACCCATCCCCAGGCCCTGCAAACACCCATCTCTCCGTCACCTTGAGTCACTGGGGTGACACACTCCTCAGAAAAGCTGAGGAAAATCAAATGCCTCTTTTCTGGAAACTGTGTCTGCACATGTCTTCACAAAACAGAACTTGGCAGAGCACAGGGACCTGCAGGCTCCTGGCCAGCCACAAGATCCTACTCCCGGCAGGCCCAGCCCGGCCCTGGGAGCTGCTGCCCCTGGGAAGGCCAGGCCCTGCAGCCAGCAGATATGGATGGGGCTGCTGTATCACTGTTCACTGTGGTCACCATGTCCTACAGGATACAGTGAACTTAGAAGATTTCTTGAACTTAGCCAGGCATTGTGATGGGCACATGTAGTCCCAACTACTTGGGAGGCTGGGGCAAGAAAGTCACTTGAGCCCAAGAGTTTGAGGTTGCTTGAGCTGTGACACTACGGCACTCTGCCCAGGGTGACAAAGTGAGATCTGTCTCAAAAAAAAAAAAAAAAAAAAACTCTTGAACTTAGGTTTACTGTCTAATGTCCATGTAATGTGTGGTGTGAGGACCATGTGTTCATGTGTGCCATGTGCATGGGCATGTGTGTTCATGGCTGATCTGTGTGAGGCGGGAGTGTGCTGGGTGTGCTGTGTGATGAGGTGAGTACATGGTGTGCCATGGTGTGTGATGTATTTGTTTACATGTGATGGGGGGGTGTTCACGTGTGGTGTGTGTGGTGACGTGTGGTGTGTGTGGAAGCCACTCAGGCATGCACGTGCACAGGCCGTGTGATGCCCCGTGGATGGCCACCTGCTGACAGCACTTTCAGCCCTGGCATCTTCCCCCACATGCCGGGACATCACTCACAGTGTGCAGCCGTGGGCACTGAGTCCCAGGTGTTATACCTCTCAGTATTCTCACCTCTTTGCTTGTTTGTCACTTTAAGACAAAAGCAGATTAAATTAACTTTGTCTTTAGGGGATCCCCAAAGGCCCCAATGCAGTTGGAGCAGCTCTGCCTGGGGTGCTCCCACTGCCACTGGGAGGTGCCGCCAGGCAGCAGGTGCACCTGATTCAGGGTGTGGGATGCTGACAGCTCTGCTCTGGCTCCTTACAGCTCCAGCCCCCAGAAGGCAGAAGTGTGACCACTGGACCCCCTGCCCCGCTAACTCCTACGCCTACCGGATACTCAGCGGGGGCGGCAAGAACAACTATGCCAAGATCTGCTTTGAGGATGAGCTGTAAGTACCAGAGTTTAAAAGAAAACCCAGGGGCCCTGGTGACGCTCCCCCTTCTCTGAGATTGGCCACGCAGCACGTCTGTCCACAGGGGAGATTCAAGTGTCCTCAGTCTCTTGAGAGCACTGGAGAAGGACATTGACCAACTCTCCCGGCCTCGTGTGTCCTGTGATGAACTGTGTCTTTTCATTTGACAGCAGTTAGAATAAACTGGGGTTTAAATTGCTCCGTGTCCAAGGCCTTCAAAGTCACGGGAACCAAAATGCAGCTACCACAGTTTTTCCATCTTGTTTTATGTCCCTCAGCCTCGTGGATAAAGCAGGTGGAGTTTCTCCTTGCAGTTCACACCTCACATCTCCTCAACATTCTGAGAAAGCTGGTATAGAATTGATGTTCAATGTTTGATGTAATTCCCGGTGGGAGGTAGACAGACTCATCTCTCTGCGAGGGCACCCCGCCTCAATCCAGGGCAAAGCACCAGCCATCCCAGGGGGCTCATCAAGACCACAAAGATGAACGGAGCCCAGAGGGCCCAGACAGGGCCAGTCGTTAACACCATGGCTGGGCAGAGCCCCAGCAGGCAGGTGGGCGAGCCCGTGAACTCCTGATCAGCTGTCAGACTGGGGAAGCTGTTCTGTCTGCCCCCTGGAGATGAAACTTGTTTTCCCTTCCCCCTTTCTAAATATGTTATTGGCCGTTGTGCACAACCCAGCCATTTCCTCTTTACCCAGTCTCCCTAGGAACTTGGGATTCTTCTAATCCTATTTTAGAATTTTGGCACTTTTTTTGCATTTTGCATATACTCTTTGTCTTATCAATAAAAAGTTTCCGAGCAGTCAGAGAAGGACTGCCTTGTGTCAGTCTGCTGAAGGGCCCTGGGGTCCTGGGGCCACCCAGGGTGTGAGCCAGTGTGCACCTCCCCGGGTTCCCCAGACCTCATGCATTAGTTGGGGTGTAGGGTCTCATTCTTTTCCCAGCATCATCTCCCCTATAGACCTCCAAACCAAGTCGGGGCCAAGCGAACCCCAATAATTTCCCAATGAAGCTGTCTTGGCCTGGAGTTTTCTTTGTGAAAAGATTTTTAACTGAATATTCAGTTATATAATAAATAACTACTCAAGTTATCTGTTTCTTCTCACTATTTTTTGAGGACTTCTTTGA